AATAATAATTTATGCAACAATACAAAAATTAAGGCGATACGGTAGAAACACTCCAGAGAACAAACTTTAAGATTGGCAAGCATCTGCCGGTAATTAATTTTAATATTAAAGCAAGAAACTTAGCCTTGCATAATTTGATCATACCGAAAAGAGATTGTTAGACGCATTTGTAAATCCAAAGAGGAGGGGGGCAGTCAGTTTGACTACTAAATATTGTTAAACAGCGCGTCAAAGCACAATTAGATTGATCACCTGGAAACCACATATAACTATGTTAGGTAAAAAAATTTCAAAAACTATCGGTATTATTGGAAAAATTAAACATCTTCTTACTCAAAAAACCATTATTACCATATACAATAGCTTAATATACCCATATCTAACCTACGGGAATATAGTCTGGGGATGCGCCTACAAAACCACACTACAGCCCCTAGTATTACTCCAAAAAAGATTTGTTCGTTCAGCCACCGGCGCCAGTTTCCATGCACATTCTGCACCTTTGTTTACAAAACTTAATATTTTGAATATTTTTGACATAAACAAACTTCATCTGATGTTATTTACGTTTAAATTCCTTACTTGTTCTCTTCCAGACACATTTAATGGTCTTCTAAATCTTAATTCCCATTTTCATACTTACCAAACTCGACAAAGTGCCCATTTCCATACTCCCCTAGTTAGAACGTCCTTAGCCCAAATGAGTGTAAAATATAAATGTATAACTACTTGGAATAATCTCCCGCTCCACCTAAAATGTTTAACATCAATAATTAGCTTTAAACGAAATCTTAAAAATCACCTACTTTTCTTTCCCACCGACATTTGATTTCTTATTACTTTGATTTCATCTGTATAAGTCTGAATCTCCGTTTCTCTTTAAAATTCATTTATTTTCTTGAGTTATTGCTTCAATTCTGCCAATGTCTGTATTGCAGTTAAAGTTCTGTTAACGTTAAAGTTATAGTTTTATAACATATCATTTCTAATTAGCGTTATTTATCAATCACTTTTGTTATTCATGTTACTATTTGTTTTGTTACTATTATCATTTTGATCATATTGATCAAATTTATTAATTACCTATTGTTATTTATTATTATCATTTGATTTGTTAGCATTATTTCAGTTGTTAATTAATTTTGTCGGGGAAGATCCCAGACAAGCCACTATGGCTTCATATCTTTCCCCAGCATTTTATTTTATTGTCAGTAACATTTTCATTTTATTGTTATTAAATCATATGCGAACCAATAAACAAACAAACAAACAAACAAACACCCTTGCCCATGGTACTTTTAGCTATACTATTTTCCTGTAACTCTATGCCTAATACTCATAACATTGCTGATATTTTTTTTAATTTATATGGCGTAAATACTGAGGCACGGTACGTACCTGAGAGCTGGAATGCTCGTTGTAGGAGCCTGCATGCCCTTTTTCCTGAGGCGTAATCGGACCATTTTAGTCTTCGTAATCCGTTGGCAGTCGCCCTCCAAATCAATGAAATTCGTAATATTATATTAGCCTTAATGCATAAAGTTTTAATAGCTCTGAGAATTTTACTTAATTCGTAATCGGCGGCGAAAATTTTGCGTAATCCGTAATCACTATCACCCCCACTACATGCCCTCTAGTACATCCAGGGGCTTCCAAGAGCAACATGAACAGCGACATCTAGCGATGTAGTGAAATAGTACATCTTCCGGTTAGTAAATATGGCGGTGGGCCGGATACTCTCTCTCTTCACAGCCAAGGGCGTATATTTCGGCAAAAGGGTACTTTAAAAGTTTCTTTAGTGTGGAAACTTAGCAACAATGTAGTGGACCACAATTAAAACATCGTTGTTGGAATATTTGTCCACTAATTACAGACGTTGCGCGAGCGCCAATGTTTTACTTGTCATCTACATTAACATAATTTATGCGATTCATTCATCAAGGCCATTATGTCAATTTTTATCATCTTCTGAGAATCACTTTGGGCATACAGTAGTACAGATTAATTATTTTTTAGACAATTCAAGTCTAATTTTTGATAACTTTGTCATATAAGAATTGCGTTTATGTGATCTGGTAGGTCCATCCCACAATAAAAAGTGCAAACATAATAGATAAACATTGAATGCAACACCCAAACGAAAATGTTCAACCAACGAAGGGTTGATCCATGGAAGCATTGTTTTCGTATGTTTACGTTTGCCGCCGCATGGCGGCAAACGTAAAAAATCAATGGCCTGAGGCCACCATCTGGTATCTGCTGGCCTGAGCCTCAGCCTGAAGGTAAGGCTAGCAGATACCAGATTCAGATACCAGATGGTCAAGGGTTTGATTCCTGGCAGTCTGGTCTAGATGCTTGTCATTGGGAAAGGCAGTACACAAATTCACCTTCAAATCCCAGTCAAAGGGAAATCAATACAATCATGTAATTGAAATTATCTACTGCCTACAAGCTCAAAAAGACTATGGGATGTAAAGCACCTTTTACATAGATGAAACTTTGTACTATTTTCGGTGCAAACTTACTTGACATTTAGTTGTCTTTTGGTCATAGCAGGGTTCTAGCTAGGATGTAATTTTAGCGTATTGGTACTGGCCGCCTGTCGATGGGCTCTCCTTCTGTGGTGCGGAGCTTTTAAAAATTTGAGCTAAAAAATTTGAGGGATACCCAAAGGGAAAAAATGTTATTTCTAAGGTATGTACAATGTATCCTTGATTGGTAATTTTCCACATTTGATCTGGCATTCTTGAACAAAGAAATACAGTCACAATGCCCCTATGCTGTATGTGTAGGGGGGGAAATTTAGCGTAGGGGGTCAAAATTATAGCGTAGGGGGTGAAATTTAGCGTAGGGGGCAAAATTTAACTTTGTGCTAGCTAGAACCCTGCATAGAGTGCCAGGTAGCCATTTCTGGCACCTCTTAAACTATGGGGTTTGCACACATCAAGAATATGTAAGTCCTGGCCTATTTTTGCACTACCTTACCTGACATTTGGCTGTTTTCTGGTCGTACAGCGCGAGGTAGCCGTTCCTGGCCCCCACAGCGATGCGCCGGCTGTGGTTATCGTAGCTGACCATGTTGAAGCGACAGATGGCGGGAAAAGTCTCCTGCAGTCCCTTCTGTTTCAGCTGGGTGGCGTCCAGGCAGTGCACTGTGATGTCCATAACCTGAGCAGTGTGAAACAACAAGTCACTGGTTTTTGGCGACGTCTCAGGGAGGAGCCTAATGGTACAGTATTGTGTGCAGTTTGCAAGAATTCTAGGAATTGTAAAGGCATTTTGTCCACAGGCATGCGAAATGTCCACAGGCATTTCTCAGACCCACATCTATGCCCACATTCCTGGAACCCTTGAGAAGACCTGTCTGCCCCAGATGGCCCTAGACTTTCTGTGGCCCCAGGGCTCGTTCACTATACACTCAGGGGAGGAATACACTGTATCTATCTAGACTTAACAGATACCAAGTCTTCCTCAAAATCATGAAATGATGACAGTGCCATGCAAACAATAACCCTAACAGCAACTACCGTCGCCATGGCAATGTATGTTTTCATTGCCAGTCTTGTTATGTTTACTTTCGGCTTGGAACCAAGAGGTTCCGTGTTCAAACCCCACCTTGTCATCGATCTTGTGCCCTTGGGAAAGGCACTTAACACAACTTTCCTCACTTCACTCAGGTGTAAATGAGTACCTAGCTTTGGTTAGGGACGTCCCTCGGATAGGACGTTAAATGGAGTTCCCATGTTTGGGAGAGCCACACCCCACGTGCGTTAGAGAACCCACCACGCTTATCGAAAAGAGTAGGGGACCTTCCCGGTGTGAGTGGTTCAAACCTTACAGTCTGGTCTCAGGTTTGACATCTTTGAAGAGGTGATAGTCACCTGTTATGTCAATCCTTCCACAATAAATGTGGTAAATATTCATAAATAAATAAATAAATAGACACATGCATCCAAAAATGTGACACCCAAAAACATATTAAACCTTCTCAGCAAACTTAAGGTAACAAAAGATTTAAGTTACAGAAAAAGTGTTCCAACCTCCACAATCAGTTCAGCCACGTCACTCTGCATCTTGTCAATCAGCAGTTCGATGACCCTCAGTATCTCCGGTTTCCCGCGTACCAACACAGACGTGTGGATGGGCGCGCTCTGGGACTGCGCGTTGGCGGCCATGGCGGCGTGGCGGGCAACCTGTGGTGTACATTTTGAACCATTATTTAGTCTTCATGGCAAGAATCTTAAGGATAGCATTTCAGTACTAAGATAAGGGATAGCATTTCAGTACTAGGGACAGATATAGCATTTCAGTACTAGGGACAGGGACAGCATCTCAGTACTAGGGGCAGGGACAGCATCTCAGTACTAGGGACAGGGACCAGGGACAGCATCTCAGTACTCGGGACAGGGACAGCATTTCAGTACTCGGGACAGATATAGCATTTCAGTACTAGGGACAGGGACAGCATTTTGGGACAGGGACAGCATCTCAGTACTAGGGGCAGATATAGCATTTCAGTACTAGGGACAGGGACAGCATCTCAGTACTAGGGACAGGGACAGCATTTCAGTACTAGGGACAGGGACAGCATCTCAGTACTCGGGACAGGGACAGCATTTCAGTACTAGGGACAGGGACAGCATTTTTGAGACAGGGACAGCATCTCAGTACTAGGGGCAGGGACAGCATCTCAGTACTAGGGACAGGGACAGCATCGCAGTACTAGGGACAGGGACAGCATCGCAGTACTAGGGACAGGGACAGCATCTCAGTACTAGGGACAGGGACAGCATTTCAGTACTAGGGACAGGGACAGCATTTTTGGGACAGGGACAGCATCTCACTACTAGGGGCAGGGACAGCATCTCAGTACTAGGGACAGGGACAGCATTCTCAGTACTAGGGACAGGGACAGCATCGCAGTAATAGGGACAGGGACAGCATTTCAGTACTAGGGACAGGGACAGCATCTCAGTACTAGGGACAGGGACAGCATCTTAGTACTAGGGACAGGGACAGCATTTCAGTACTAGGGACAGGGACAGCATCTCAGTACTAGGGACAGGGACAGCATCTCAGTACTAGGGACAGGGACAGCATTTCAGTACTAGGGATAGCATTTCAGTACTAGGGACAGGGATAGTATTTCAGTACTAGGGACAGGGGCAGCATCTCAGTACTAGGGACAGGGACAGCATTTCAGTACTAGGGACAGGGACAGCATCTCAGTACTAGGGACAGGGACAGCATCTCAGTACTAGGGACAGGGACAGCATTTTAGTACTAAGGACAGGGACAGCATTTCAGTAATAAGGACAGTGACAGCATTTCATAAACAGACCCCAGAAAGAGTAGTGTGACATGTATGTAGTACTTATTAAGACTCTGGACAAACAAACAAACAAACACACACCTCCTTGGCCATGGTGGTGATGAACGCAGACGGGCGGGCGGTGGCGATCAGGGACAGGGCGTGACGTGCCGTGCGACACGAGTCCGCAGCAGGGGTCAAAGGTAACCCACTCGTCATACTGTCAGGGAAATAAGTTTCAATTTTACAAATTTTGAGTGACATTATTTTTGCAGATGTTGGCCTTGTTAACAAAACCCAATAAACAAGTTAGGGTAACCCACTGGTCATACTGTCAGGAAAGAAAAAGTTTCAATTAATATCAAATTATCATTTCATCATCCTTTAACTTCATTCCAACAAACTTGACAGTACATTGTACTTCAATTAATATCATTTTTGTAGATGTTGGTCTCGTTCAAAAGTGAAAACGATGGCATTTACACAATCAACTTTAGTGCACCTGTATACAGATAAGTATAGTTATGTTGTTCTACGGTTGAAAGCTTGCGAGTGTGTAGTGTGTTTAGGCCATACCAATTTAATTTGTTGTTTCTCATATTCGCCCTATCCATTTTTTTCTGATTTCCTCCCAAAAAAACATTTTTTTGTTCTACATCAACTGCAAAATGCTCAATGAAATACATATTTTGGCCCCAACGGTTGAAGACAGTCCTTTTCTTCCTAGTTGTTCAAGTTTTTCAATGTAACAAATTGATGCAATTTTGTTTCATTTAAAGTTCAAAATCTATTGTTTAATTATAAACCAGCCTGGTATGTTCACTTTATGGCTCATATTGTAACATGTCTGGCTATCATGGGGTGCCTTTTTTTTTATTTCGCCATGTCGCTTCATATTTTTTTGACAAAATCCAAGAAACAATAAATTAAATTGGTGTGGCCTTACACTGTCAGTGATAACTCACTGCAGAAACTGTGAACATAAAACATTGCAGGCTATTTTAAAATCGACAGTACCTTGCTGCATGTTTCTCTGCGTCACAGCACAACTCCAGCAGACCCAACAGTACCGCTGACACGTCCATATATGGCTCCCACACCGTGAACCCTCGACCAATCAGGTCGATGGCAGCCCTTCTGATTGGCGTGTGGGCGGGAAGCTTGCCACTGGGCGGAGCCAGGAGAAGGTAGGTCAGCGCCTTGCCTGGAGGGCACAAATAAGTGGCTATGTTTACTACAACTGGGAACATGTGCCTTGCCTGGAGGGCACAAATAAGTGGCTATGTTTACTACAACTGGGTACATGTGCCTTGCCTGGAGGGCACAAATAAGTGGCTATGTTTACCACAACTGGGAACATGTGCCTTGCCTGGAGGGCACAAATAAGTGGCTATGTTTACTACAACTGGGTACACGTGCCTTGCCTGGAGGGCACAAATAAGTGGCTATGTTTACTACACCTGGACAAAAAGAAGAACTTTATTGCACGGCAATTGTGTTGTAAATGGTCTAATGTACGACTACTGAACATAATTGTACTGTGGTACAAAAAGATAATGGTATAAAATGCAACTTAACGTCCTACATGTACCTGTATCTACTAAAACATCAAGTGTTTAGACATATATTAAGTTAATAATTTTATACAATTAAGTAGGGCTAATAATACAATCATGTGCCTTGCCTGGAGGGCACAAATAAGTGGCTAGCTTTACCACAACTGGATACAAGCAAAGGGCAATGCTTTATACATTTATATAAATGGCAGATAAATATATTCTATATCATATTGTTGTTATCATTTTGTCTAATACTTATTCTGTAGATATACTACAAGATGATAATGCAAGGATGTATTATGTAAGACTTCTATGCATTTTTAATCTGTTAACTGCTCAGTAGCAAGAAATAAATTCAGCATAGCATCTTGTTTTTTTTCTTTTATGCTAGAACTTTCTATGTCTTCAATTAGTTGAGGTTCCATAAATATGACAAAAATGTGATGGCTTCAAATCAGGGTAAGAGTTGATAAGGCCACACCAATATAATTTGTTGTTTTTCGGATTCACCCTGTCCATTTTTTTCTGATTTGCAAAAAAAAAAAAGAAGATTTTTTTGTTCCAAATCAACTGCAAAATGCTCAATGAAAGACATTTTTTGGCCCCAATGGTTAAAGAAAAACTCCTTTCTTCCTAGTTGTTAAAGTTTTCCAACGTAACAATGCAACTTTGTTTCATTAAAAGTTCAAAATCTATTGTTTTAATTATTGAATTGAAATTAAAAACCAGCCTAGTATATGTTGACTTCATGGCTCATATTGTAACAGTTCCAGCTATCATGGGGTGCCTTGGCCTGTTTTTTTTTTTTCGTCGCTGTCATTTCATATTTTTTTCTGAAAAAATCCGAGAAACAACAAATTAAATTGGTGTGGCCTAAAGATAGGAGAAAATGCTTGATCTGTAAGAGAAAGTATTTCAAAAGTTAGATTGCTCTTTAGACTATTAAAATTATACTAGTAGTGCGCAAGTGCATACTATTAATAGCCATTGCGCAAAATAAGGTTCTGAATTCTATAACAGTTACTCTGAAATGGTGACTGAAAAATAAAGCTATAACTGTGTGCATTTAAAAGTCTCAGAGATAAAAGAACTGTTACAGTGTGGAACACATACTATTTCAAATTGTTATTATTTTTTTTATTAATTAATGAACCAATGCCCCAGCAGTGCTTCCAGCAAAGTCACCAACATTGAAGGAAATACAAGCCTTCTACGTGAGCAATGCTCATTTCTCTGTTTCCTCCTTTCTGGTTCTTTTTTGACCGCTTCTCTTCTGTATAAGGGGCACACAAGTATGGAGAGGGAAGAATTCTTGAAATGTTTATGACTGAAGTTTTTGTCATCATTTTGAAAGAGTTTTAAGAGTAATTCTTGTACACTAGCTACAGTTATTTCTAGAAGATTGTTTCTCCATCTCTGACTATGTTAAAACATTAACCTGCAAGTCTTTTAGACATTGAAATAGATTTTGAATGTCGGAAAGGAAAAATATTGTGAAATATCAAGACCACAGTAAGAAGTATGAGACATCCATGCTTCAAAAAGGTGAAAAAATAAAGTTAGGTATAAAAAAAATGCCTACTTGTTAGTCCACATTCTCCTGTTTTCCATACAGTATTTCAAGCAGTAGATGCAAATAATTAGGAATAGAACAAAATTTGTATGAATGAAACAGGAAACAATTCAAAAACACAATTTCACATACAATGTGCAAACAACTCAGTGTATAAAATCAAATTCTTTCAGTGCATCTGCTTTTGTGTTTATTTTGCTAGTCTACTCGAAGCGTTTCTGTACTTGTCTAGTTATTTACACATGCAAGGCATAAGGCCACACCAATTAAATTTTTTGGTAAACAGATTTTTCTAAAAAAATAATGGAGCGGGAGGGCGGAAAAAAAAAAACAGACGTAGGCATCCTATTATGGCCCAAAATGGTACGATAGGAGCCATGAAGTCAACACACCAGGCTGGTTCAAAATTTAAACAATGAATTTTGAACTTTTAGTGATAACATTACATTAAAAGATGGAATAACTGTAACAACTAGGAAGAAAAGGACTGTTTTCAACTGTTCAGGGCAAAATATGAGCATTTTGCAGTTGATTCTGAATTTTTTTTTTTTTTTTGCAAATCAGAAAAAAATGGTGCGGGCAAATCCGTTAACCAAGAAATTAAATTGGTGTGGCCTAAACACTGATAAAAAGTAACAGGTCAAAGTGTTGACTAGTACTTGTGCTCTCAGTTCAGTGACACTGAAGAAGAGTGACAGATGTCACTTGAAACATTCATTATTTATCCAGTAGTAGAATTTGAAAGTTTGTATATTGCTTTATCTAACCTTCATCAACATACATTGTATCAGGTCAAAGATTTCTGCTAGCCTGATTCAAATGAATAAAGATAAAGAATATTCAGTAAGAAAAACTTACTGGTGTGTCTAGCGAGGGAATAGTTGTCCCTGCTGAAACCTTCTGGTGCCCGACTGGCTTTCTTCTTCTGCTCTTCGTTCTGTCCCTTGGTCGCTATCTCAGCACCAAACTCTGCACCTATAGGGGTAAGGCAGGGGGGGAGATGATTCTATCCCATCATCCTTTGCAATACACATTCCACAACACGTGTCCCAGATGGCTGACTGTCAGCACCAGGCATATAGTCTTGTCATGTTTCCTTTAAAAGTGCAGCAATGGCAACAATTTGACCAGTAATTTTTGGTTCTTTGAATTATCAAAGGACTCAAGTAGAGTATGAGGCTATCTGACTTTTGTAACTTATGTACAACTTCTTACATTGTGTCATAAACATTTATGCAAACATTTGCTTCAAAAATGGTGCTCAAACTTCACCAAACTAAAGTGCTTTTCTACAAACTCTGTTGATTGGTGATATTATACATCTTGTCCATCAGAAAACCCCAAATGCACCAAAAAGCACCCATGGGAAACAGAAGAAAATATTATATTTGATATGATTTATGTAATGACCATCAACTTTTTTCAGTGTTCTGCAATATTGCACAATGTCAAAATATTGTTCTGCAATTCAGAAATACTTTCTGCAAATACACACTTAAAAATCCAGATCTAAACTATGACATATACAAAATTGTTTTTGCTCTGTTTCTTCTTCTTCTCCAAACCAATAAGGTCAATGACCTGAACCAGACGTCTGTCACCATGGTAACTAGTGTTGGGTTACATCATGTTGCAAGTTTATAGCAGGAGGGATTTAGACTCCTGTCACCATATATATACACATGTATGAATGTGTTTGAGTAACAGAGCAGACCTACAATCTATACAAACTTTTAAGGTTAATGTTATGCATTTGCTTTGCAAATGTTAACTTTCTAGTTGAAAATGCCACTGCAACATGCTGACTGTAGATGGGTTTTTCTAACACTGACCTATCACCCCCAGCATCACAATGGCAGTGGCCTGG